AGAGAGCGAGTTAGCAGAGAGGGAGTTAGCAGAGAGGGAGTTAGCAGAGAGGGAGTTAGCAGAGAGCGAGTTAGCAGAGAGGGAGTTAGCAGAGAGGGAGTTAGCAGAGAGGGAGTTAGCAGAGAGGGAGTTAGCAGAGAGGGAGTTAGCAGAGAGCGAGTTAGCAGAGAGCGAGTTAGCAGAGAGCGAGTTAGCAGAGAGGGAGTTAGCAGAGAGGGAGTTAGCAGAGAGCGAGTTAGCAGAGAGCGAGTTAGCAGAGAGGGAGTTAGCAGAGAGGGAGTTAGCAGAGAGCGAGTTAGCAGAGAGGGAGTTAGCAGAGAGCGAGTTAGCAGAGAGCGAGTTAGCAGAGAGCGAGTTAGCAGAGAGGGAGTTAGCAGAGAGGGAGTTAGCAGAGAGCGAGTTAGCAGAGAGCGAGTTAGCAGAGAGCGAGTTAGCAGAGAGCGAGTTAGCAGAGAGGGAGTTAGCAGAGAGGGAGTTAGCAGAGAGCGAGTTAGCAGAGAGGGAGTTAGCAGAGAGCGAGTTAGCAGAGAGGGAGTTAGCAGAGAGGGAGTTAGCAGAGAGGGAGTTAGCAGAGAGCGAGTTAGCAGAGACCCTCTCCCTCTCCACCTGCTGAGTCCACCCTCTCCCTCTCCACCTGCTGAGTCCACCCTCTCCCTCCCACCTGCTGAGTCCACCCTCTCCCTCTCCACCTGCTGAGTCCACCCTCTCCCTCCTCTCCACCTGCTGCTGAGTCCACCCTCTCCCTCTCCAGCCACCTGCTGAGTCCACCCTCTCCCTCCCATGCTGAGTCCACCTGCTGAGTCCACCCTCTCCCTCTCCACCTGCTGAGTCCACCCTCTCCCCTCTCCACCTGCTGAGTCCACCCTCTCCCTCTCCACCTGCTGAGTCCACCCTCCTCCCTCTCCACACCTGCTGAGTCCACCCTCTCCCTCTCCACCTGCTGAGTCCACCCTCTCCCTCTCCACCTGCTGAGTCCACCCTCTCCCTCTCCACCTGCTGAGTCCACCCTCTCCCTCTCCACCTGAGTCTGCTGAGTCCACCTCCACTGCTGAGTCCACCTCTCCTCTCCACCTGCTGAGTCCACCCTCTCCCTCTCCACCTGCTGAGTCCACCCTCTCCCTCACCACCTGCTGAGTCCACCCTCTCCCTCTCCACCTGCTGAGTCCACCCTCTCCCTCTCCACCTGCTGAGTCCACCCTCCCCTCTCCACCTGCTGAGTCCACCCTCTCCCTCTCCACGACCTGCTGAGTCCACCCTCCCCCTCCACCTGCTGAGTCCACCCTCTTCCTCACCACCTGCTGAGTCCACCCTCTCCACCTGCTGAGTCCACCCTCTCCCTCTCCACCTGCTGAGTCCACCCTCTCCCTCTCCACCTGCTGAGTCCACCCTCTCCCTCACCACCTGCTGAGTCCACCCTCTCCACCTGCTGAGTCCACCCTCTCCCTCACCACCTGCTGAGTCCACCCTCTGGTCTCCGCTTCATAACTGCATCGCTTCAGCGCCGTATTTGATTTTCTCACATGTTTTAAGTGGTTTCTTTTCTTTCGGAGCGGGCCTTTTACGGAGCAGTGCGGGACGAGTCCAAAACACAAATTGCGAGTGATGGGATTTCCTCCACACCAGACACAGAGCAGTGCAGTGTCTTTCCCGCTCCGCAAGAAAAGTGAGTTTATATCTGCGGCAGTGGCTGAAGACGTCATTTAGTGTTCAAGAAGCGAGACAGAAGCTTTAAAACCCACGAGAGGATGGCTTTACAGAGAGGATCAACAAAAGAGAGTCAGCGGAGTGCAGGATTGTCGGGAGACGGGGAATTCTGCTGCATTTGATGTTTGTGGAGGCAAAGAATGACTCTATAGCTGTGTAACTTATCAGGGAATGGGCCGCGGTTTTATTCATGGCTTTAAAAGACACATGTTCTGCATCCAATTATCAATTATTATAAGTTTTACCATGTAACGGACATTCACTCATTCACCATCTATGCTGTAGATCCAGGACTGAGGCTGTAGACCCAGGACTGAGGCTGTAGATCCAGGACTGAGGCTGTAGATCCAGGACTGAGGCTGTAGATCCAGGGACTGAGGCTGTAGATCCAGGACTGAGGCTGTAGACCCAGGACTGAGGCTGTAGACCCAGGACTGAGGCTGTAGATCCAGGACTGAGGCTGTAGACCCAGGACTGAGGCTGTAGATCCAGGACTGAGGCTGTAGACCCAGGACTGAGGCTGTAGACCCAGGACTGAGGCTGTAGATCCAGGACTGAGGCTGTAGATCCAGGGACTGAGGCTGTAGATCCAGGACTGAGGCTGTAGACCCAGGACTGAGGCTGTAGACCCAGGACTGAGGCTGTAGATCCAGGACTGAGGCTGTAGACCCAGGACTGAGG